TCTCTAATTTTGCTGACATGTCTAGAGTGAACAATTTTGTAACTGATATGGTTAAAAAAAACACACCATATAGTAAACTGATCTCAGAGAAAAGAAGAGATTTACTGACTGTACACAAATATTAATACTTCAAGGAACTTGAACACTTTTTGGGAAACCAATATGGCAGACTTTTAAGTCTAGACATACATGGTAAAATATATAAAATATCTATTGGTGTAAGCATCTTTCCCTTTTCTATGAAGGAAAGAGAGAAGGCATTCTTAAGTTATTTAGAGTTCACACTAGCCATGTTATCTCAAGCAATGCTCAAAATTGATGCACTATCTGTGAAATGTTGGCAGTGTATAAGAGCTCTAAGGCAATTTTAACACTGGTTATCTACTTGTACTTATTTTTAGAAATAACTGGGCACAAAAGAGAAGGAAAACAGCTCACTTTGACTAGTTAAGCTGGTTATAGCTCAAAGATTAAGCTACAGTAAAACTGACACCACCATATACAGTAAGTTCTCTAAAGTTAAGTGAAAATAGTACATACCAGAAACACAATTTGACATTAACACAATATACCTAATTTTATATATTTGACAATGATCAACTTGCCAAGAGACACAAATGTATAGCAACTCATATCTTGTAATAGTATATGTAGGCGAGGCCAATTTAACAAGTTGTAAACAGTCTGTTAAAATTAAATTTAGTTATATTTATTCACAGTATGGATTCTATTTACAGAAATAGTGTAAATTAGAATTCATAATTATTTATAAAAGTAAAGAAAGTAGTTTGTTTTATAAATAACACTCAAATTCTGCAACACGGATTCCACATCCTGCTTATTATGTCCTCAAAAAATAATATCCTAATATGTTCTTATGTGCAAATCAACCTTAGGAACACAAAAACAAAATACAAAAATATAAATAGCTTAACCCATCTAGATCTCAAAAAGCACCTTAAGCAACGAGCAACATGGCAAAAATTGTAATAATTAGTTTGTCTTCACAGTTCTGAGTTTCTACTTCTTTTTACACAGCTCTACCATGTCACATTACATGAGAAACTATGTGCAATAGAGTGATATGTTTAAATATGTGTTTAAATAAAAATGAAATCAGCTAATTAATATTTATTAAAAAAATGTAATACTGTTTCATAAAAAAAAATCTGACGCCACAAAATATTTAAGTTTTAAATAAAATGAATAAGAGCCACAGACAGTTTGAAAACAATGTGAGATAATAATTTATTGTTACATAAAAACATATTGAAATAATAACTAACTTAAAATTAAAATAAGATTCACAGAATTAATGCTTTCTTAATTTTCTTAAATATTTAATTTGATAAATTTAGTTCAAATGCATCTCTGCTTTTGTATGTTGGGAAAATGGTGCTGTTTTAGGAAAGCAGTGCTGTATATAAATATATACATCCAATGGCCAGACAAATGAAAGATCTTGCTAACCACTGCTCTTGAGCACTCAAAGCCCTCATAACAGCTGCCACACATTGTAACAGTGACTTCAAAGGCTTCTTGTAATAGTATGATGTTAAGGGAAGCCAATCAGAAATCAGTGCATAGGACCATCCAAAATAAATAAGTAGAGTCACCAAAGCTTTTTCTACCCTCAACTGAAATTGTGATTTATCTGACTGAATGTAGCTTTTAAGTCAGTCTTCAATGGTTGAAAGCTGATGTTCCTTAGTCTAAGGAATATACTTTCGATATTTTATCATAGATAGGAGTGATATACTGTATACCTGCTATTTACTTTATACATCCAATAGTGCAACACATTATGTGGTCCAGTAGTGGTTCTTGTACCCCCCTACTGTTGGCTGGCAATTTGCTTTTCTAGCCAAAACCATGCAGCATCTACTGTGTTAGTACAACCATATGGTTACTGGCCACATAAAAGTCAGTCTGGGGGTGAGGTTTGAGCTTTGATCAAGTTATTACACACCTTAAGGGCTTCCACTATTGAAAAAGGTGTCACCTTTAAAGTAAAATTGTGGCCAGGCTTTGGGCCTTTAAATATTTACATATTCTTAACAAGCAGTACATAATCATTAAACCAAGCCCTCCCTGATCCCTGTTTCTGCAGGTACTGTGTAACAATTTATCCTTAAAGTTCATAAAAGAAGCAATTAATTCATTCAGGTTGGATCTCTGATCTCTACTTTGTGCACCTGATCTGCGTTTACAGTAGAGACTAAAAGACTGACAGACTGCCAAGTCACTGATCGGAGGAGGAGCAGAATTCATTTTCAGGATGAAATGAATGTGTTTTTGTTGTACATTTTGAGAATACATTACTCCATGGTGTCTGCAGCTACAGAGGTCATAGGGCTTGCTTTAAGACTAATTTACAACTTATTAAGGACTATGTAAGTATTTAAATATCCATAGCCTGGTCACAGTTCTACCTTAAAGTATTGACGCTGCTCAAACCCACCCTCATTGTACTGATGTTAATGCCTTTTTTAAGTCTTTCAAGTCACACTTTAAATGTATTCTTTGTGATCTGTTGTCCAAATGTAAAGCAAAGGTAGAAATGCAGTTCTATTTTACAGTATGTCATTGCTTACGTCATTTCACATGTGATGTGCTGCCAGTGGTTTAGTCTTATTTTGCTATCTGGTCAATGAATGTATACAAAAATATATAGAAACACATATCATATATATTTTTGTATAAAAACATGCATGTACATGCATGTAATAAAAGTCATATGCCACTAAGCCGACTGGACATCGGAGCATCATCACAGGCAATGGATAGGTAAGGGTTAATGCGTCTCAATGGTTCAACCATCTTCAACAGAAGCAAAACCATGTCTAACAAGATGAAGATAGTTTAACCATTTAAACGCGTTAACCCTTACCTATCCATTGCCTTTGATGATGCTCTGATGTCTAGTCGGCTTCATGGCATGCGACTTTTATTACACGCATGTACCTACAAGCTGTTATACATGTGGACTCTTGTGAGTATAAAATTTGCTTTTATATACATTTTTAATAAAAAGCGGTATTACACGAAGACAGGGCACTGTTCTTGTTTTTTTTTTTGCATGTGTTCTGAGGTATCCCAACCTACAATTGAACAGCGGCCCCTCCGGTGAAATTATCTGGCATTTGGTCTCTACCAAAGCACAGTTTGGATTATACACCATCTCATAATTTTTTTACTGTTGGAAAACTTAATAAAAATCTTTTTTTCTGGAAAAAAACCAAAACAAATTGGGTCTATTATCACTGCCTATTCAGTGCTCAGCGTTGTAAAAAAAAAAAAATAATGCACATTTGTATCACATGTCCTGTTTTTAACCAAGCAGTCTGGTATTTACCAGTTAAGTAAACTCGTCCATTGTTTTCTCCAGTTGTTCAAAACTTTTATTACAAGGAAAAAAATAAATCTATATCTCTATATATATTTATTTATTTAAATATATATAGGACTATTTTAGCATAGGAATATTAGAATATATCATTCCCAGACATTGCCAGCATGGCATGAGTATTTAAAATCTCTGTATAATAAGTAAAGCCATTTGCTTATACAAAACACACACATTTTGCAGTATGTTACATAATATTAATTTAACTTACATATTTCTATATGGATTGATGTATTTCTTTTCTAAAGATGACCTATGCTTTTACCTCTATTAAGAGACTCTTTTTACTACCAAAAGAAATGTAAAAAATAGATCATGAAAATATGTGCAATTGTAAATATGGTATAAGTATTTTGTGCAGTGTTAGGGCGTGTTTGTGAGCAATATTCTTAGGGAAAAAAACCCTTTTCTAGCCTACATTACAGTTTAAATTGTATTTAACTTCTAGTAAAAAGAAACACTACACAAAATGCAACGTTGTTGAATAACAAGCCACATGAAAGATGACGTTTGGAAAACCGTAACCTGTGACAATTGACAGGCACTTATGGGGGCATTAATAATATTTTGGACACTTTTGCTGATATTGTCTGATTTTAAAAAACAATAAAAATGAAATGTACTTTTTTAATTATACTTCATCACAGCTAATTCATGTTTATAAGTCACAGGTAAACCTGTTTTCCATTGATGGTAGAAACTGAAAAGTAGAAAGTTTTACTATATGTCTAATTTTAACTATTTTCTGTAAACACTTTTTGGGGTGTCAGCAACAATTGTAAATATAGTAAATAGCATACTGTTTATGATTATAAAGAACTATGGCCACAACTATTTATGGCTTGCCTTGTCTCATTATAAGAATGGTGGCACCTACAAAACCAAGGTTGTGAAAGTTATAATTACTTATAATTTATTAAAAACACTAAACACTGATTCTTACATGTAAATGTGTTGGGAGAAAGGACAGTTTTTGCTCCCCATAACAACCGAAAATGTATTATTTCCGTAAAGCAAAGGAGACTTAAATGAGAATCTGGCTAATTGCAAAGAGCATTGACAATTAAGTGGGTTAATTTAAACTTATTAAAGACATGGTTAATAGATCCATTGTCTATATATTTATGAAGCAGTGTCTATCTGGATTCCCATTGTTCAAGTCAAAGGGGTTGATTTGCTAAAGGAGCACATTGTTTTCATTTAGTTTAGTGAAGTTGTATTCAGTTTAATAAACCAATGATATACAAGGACATTTCTAATTTTGTATTCCTTTGTATGAGATTGGGTGTTCAAAGTAAATGAAGGTTTAAGATGGAAATTGTACTCCTTTAGTATATCACTCAATGTTTCACGTATGTACACAGCAGCTATGCATCAAGATTTACAATTATTTTATTGTATGGTTAGTGAATATCTTAGGGGGGAAGGCGGCCTCCATTCTTATAATTAAAAAAGGAAATTAAAAATGAAAGATAATATTCACTTAGGTATGTCTTTCTACAGTCAAGAAGCACTACTCAAACTTTAACAGTTCACATTTTAGTTAACTAGGTGATATAAGGAAATGCTAAGAACACAAATGCTTTCTACATACCTTGATACTGTGCACTGAATCCTCTGTAACGATGGTTGCCATCAGTGACAAAATGAAGCCTTAACCAATGCTTGTTGCTGACTACTGGAGGTGGTACATTCATTCCAGATAACCTGGATTGAGAGAGAACATTATCTTACTTTTGCATATTTAATCATAACATATTGCAGCACACATAATGAATACTATGCCATGATAAAGGTAAATCACAGGGTATACTATTGGTTATTGTATATTTATAGTGATCCTCTCTCCTAAAAATATTACACAAAACTAGGCAGTGACAGCCAAGAAACCAAGGGAATAAAGAAAGATTGGGCTGATAATGAAATACAGTATGTAAAAATAAAGCCAGTAATAACTCAAAATAATTGCAGACAGAGCATCGCTAGTGACTTGAACACAATTGAAAAAATTAAACCTTGTACTTTATTTTACATTATATGTTTTTTCTTGATTCAGAAACTGACAGCATAATACATTCCGTGACTAGTTATTTAGTTAGTTATGTATTCTTATTTTAGTTTCCTGAAGACACAGATGGGAAGGGGGTTTAACACCGCGGATGTCAACTGGTTAAAGACCATCTTCACACTTTTTTACACACTCAAACCCCTCCCACCTTTCCCTTCCAACATCTCTTGCACCAATAAAAAAAACCTTATACACAACTTAAATCCAACGGTTTTTGGCCTGGTCCTGTAGTCTCCTGGGACCTTCATTTTCCTTGTCTGACAGTGATGGTGGGAGGTCCTTACTGAAGCACTCTACAGTGCTCAAGTAATATTGTGTGCAGCAGTGCTGTAAATAGAGTGGCATTATGACTTATTCTGTTTATTCAACCCAAAAGTGCCATATAAAAGAGGAGCAGACTTCAGGTAGGAAAGAGCTCTGGACTATCTGAAGTTGAGAATGTATTTTTTTTTAATTGCAGGAAAACGAAGTTCCACTTTATTTTTTAATATTATTTATTATTTAATTTTCATGGATAACTCACATTACAGGCCTCCTAATCAACACTTTTCATATTTATTTTCCCTTTCTACAGAGAGATCACAAATATACAACATATAATCAATAAGCACATGTGCATCTTCACTGAGATGACTTTTCCTGGTTTGAGCCCCTTTTATTTAAAAAAATGGCTGCATCCAGTGAATATATCCCCTCAGAGTGTCCATATGTCAGCAATTATGTTTTTCAGGATGACAAAACCTTCTTCTCAAAAGTATCACTACAGAAGAGCATTCTATAATTAAAAACAAAAATAAAACCTTTAGTACCTAGTTTCTTTATTTTACAAAAAAAGCAATTATTTGCCATGACCATATTTGGTTGATTATATCAGTCAGAATCCCCGCTCTTTGCTTACAATCCAGCAGACAGCCCAATGGGAGGGGACTCAGTGTCATGGCTTAGTATTTTTTGTTTCAATAGGTTGCTGGCAATCATTCATCATGATTGACATGGATCTATTCTGCTGGGTGATGTGGCTGAAGATGGGTCTAAACCATGGTAGATTTTATTTCATTTAATAAATGACTGTCATAGTTTGTGTGTGTGTGTGTGTGTGTGTGTGTGTGTGTTTGCGTGGGTTTCCTCCTTAAAATCCACACCAGGCCCTCCCCAAGGGCAAAGGTTTGGCATGAATGTGCCTTGGATCCCGCTCAAAATCCATGTTTTTCCTATGCCCCTGGGTAGGTACTCTCTTCATACTGAGGGCATGTGGCCTGGTGTGTTTCAGGAGGGGGGATTTTTCTTGCTGCCCCACCCCCCTTCCTAGCCTGCCAGGCTGTCTGCTCTGATGAGAGTCATGTATGGATTTTGGAGGTAATCTCACTTTTTGCATGGGTTCCCCCTTAAAATCCATACCAGTCTCTCATGTATATAGGATCCGGTATGAATTTTGAGGGGCACCTCACACCAACTGTTGTCTTTTTTGAGTGGGGGACCCCAGGCTATTTGTTGTGCTGTTGTTTTTTAAGGTGGAGGCCCCCCTCAAAAATCCTTACCAGATTCCTATCTAGGATAATAGTCAGGTATAGATTTTGGGAAAGGGGTCACCATACCATTTTTTGTATTAAAAAAGCAGGCAGAGAAATTTAATTTATGACAGTGTACTACAACAAATTATGTTTTCTGCAGCACACCACTTTACAGGCAGCTTTAGGACATTTTTAAAACATTTAATTTCCATTGGTACATGTCACCTCTGAGCAGTGTCTGGCTAACCATACCCTTAGTTTGACAATCCTTTAGCCTTGAAAATGGAGAGGATTGATTTTAAAGATTCAGTCCTATTGACTTTAATGGGGTTTTGATTAACATTTGATCTTTAATGCAGTTTGCAGAATGTCCTGTGAACTGAACCCAGGTAAATGTGGCTCATCATTAGGTAATCCTAACTTGACCTTTCACTGGAGTTCAGATCCCAGCCTCTCCATGAAGCAATCCCCTCTCCAGATTTTTTCCTTTAATATACACAAATCAAATTATGCATACTTTTTTTCCTGCAGTCTTTAGGCCAGTCTGCTGGTTACACATGCCCTTCCTTTTTTCCTAGGGTGGCACCGGTAGGTAGTCTTTATTCTGAGACTGAGAGGTGCTCACATACTAATGTGTGAATATGGGTTCAGGCCAAAAGTACTGTAAGCCTAATGTGATGCATGTGTAATTCTAGGCAATAATTAACCCAAAAAAGGACCAATGTGGATCTCAGAGTCTGCTGTGAATAGCATCGGATAGGAGGTGAGTAATGAAGGGAAATGGCCCTATGTGATAACAAATATACAATGACAGGTCCTCTTTATGGAGACATTAGGGGTCTCTAAGGCCCCTTATGTCACCTAGGGACCCCCAAAGAAGCTGTTGAAGCAGAGATCTGCTTCACCAGCTTCTTCTCTGTCAACAGCCAGATAAAAATAACAGCTAAAAGCGGAAGTGATGTAATGCAAATTACTTACACCTTCAAGCTTCAGAGGATTGATCAGCAGTGGGGGAATGCTGATATCTTCTCCATTCTCACTGCAAGTAGCTACTGTGCTGGTCCTGGTCCCACAGAGGGGACAGCGGAGCCCAGGATTACCAGCAGCGGCGGTGGAGGGGGGGAGCGGTGGAGGTGGCAGCTGCACATAGTTTATCATACCATCGATTGGGCTGCTATAAAGTGGCATGAACACTTGTATTTCACAGCCGGTAACAGATGTTAAAATAATTGTGTGGGATTCTGCTTGCACACGCGATAGAGGGCATGTGCGAGCAGAAAAAAAATCACGTAAATGTAATTTGTCACCCAGTGCTGGAGTAGATAGGGAGATTAGGAGGGGACTATATTCACAGTGCATAGACCCAACAGTCCAACAGTCTCACGTCTAGGATTACCTCTTTTTACCTCTTTTTGTGTGCCAGCAACAACAGCTGCTGTTTAGCTGTGGGACTCCCTTGCAGTTTTTTTGGGGGGAGAGTTAATTTT